TATTATTTATAATAATCTGATTTTCGATTTTTACAGAAAAGGGTAAATAAATATGATTTTCATCCCTAGCGAATTTTGTGACATCGTTTTACATAATGTGTGCAACATTTGAATTTTATTTCTTCCCTACCTAAGGCTTCTTCTTTTGGTGGGTACTTTAGATTTTGTTTTTTATTTTCTTCATCCTATTGACTGTGTGGCAATTAGTTTACATCTTTTTCCATCATGGCTTATCGGTAATTTCATTTTGTTAAATTATGTGTTTCATTAATTTATACCAAAGTTTTCAAAATTTATGTATAACAATTATTTCATTTTATATGTTATTGGACATGTTATTGAAATGGATGATTTGAGAGAATTAACCAAAAATGGGCGGAGCCACAAGCTATTGGAAGTCGACCTTCAAGACTTATTGTTTGTATGCGATATTTAATTTATTTTTTTATATTTATTTTTGTTTCTTAATTTTCCAATTGTTAATTCCAGTGGCAAAACAGCCTGAAAATGAGGCAGTGGAGAAGGGCTTAGTTCCGATGCAAGATGTATAGATGGCCTTTTATGTTGTCGATAATTTAGTTTTGATTATGTTAACTAAGTTATTAAATCTAATTACTTTTAAGCTCAACATAAAAGACATAGTTGATGATTTTTTTCCTGGTTCAAATTTTCAATCTACTGGTATCAGCTGATTCAATTCATTTGGAAAATTATTCAATAGTAAAGTTATTTCCTTTTTTTTGTGTGTAGTAGTATACTTAATGATGTTCCAGTATAATAGAATTTTGATCATACGATACATCAAACGTTTGTTTATATTCTTACAACATCAAAACAATGCAATTTGTTGTCCCGTGCATCGCACGGGTACAATTACTAGTAAATTAAATATTTGAGAGCATGGTATTTGAAGATAATAGTTATATGTCTGATTGGTCAACTCAATAGGTCTACAATTTCATTATTTATTGGGTCACGAGCCCAATTTTGAAAACCACTATAACGAAGATTCAATACATTCAAATAAGGTTTGGATCCAACAATTACAATCAAGTAACTTCAACCCAACCAAATCGTGTATAAATAAAGATTACAATTCATTTCTTAAGGTACGTTCAATATTCGAACTATACGACTCGCTGGGTTCTCTCTACAACTCTTGCAATCCACACGCCTGCGTCGGAAGGGTTTCCGCTGGATCAACCCCCAACTTAGTTTACGTGTTTTCTGATCGCTAGTATCTCAAAGTCATCAAACTCGTGAGCTAGTGATCCACTTTACTCTTCCACTCATCATACTTTAACTACATCAGATGATTCTATTTCTAGCATCATTATAGTTCTACTACAAACCCCATTTCTTTGACGGAAGCTCTTAAAGCAACAATGTTATTGAATATTTCTTTTTATTGTACTATGACAAAAGTACACCGAAAGTTCTGATCATATTAAAAAAAAGTGAGTGATGAGATTAAAAGTGATATTATTCATCTCAACGAGAAACAAAGGAAAATTTGAATTACATATTATTAAGTCTTTATAAATTTGTAAAAAATACAATGTGCTATTTATTTGAGCGTTACATCTATACGTTATTAATTTATACATTAAATGAGATTTATAATAATTTTAAAATATGTATTATCTTATATATCTAACAAATTATTAATTTTTCGTGTTGTTCTAAAAGTTATATTATTTAAACGAGATTTTTAACTAGCGAGATTTTGCTTTAGACCATTGTACAGTTAAACCTCTATAAATTAATACAGTTGGAACCATCAAAATTTCATTAATTTAGCGAAATATTATCTTATCGATAAATTAATAATTATTAATTTATACATTAATTAATATTTTATTAATTTATGAAATTACTTTTATTATTATTTTCAATAAATGCATTTTAAAAAAAATTACGTGTATATTAATCATTGTACCATTAGTTCAATGCACTATAGAATCCGTTTTAAACGAAAGCTCTTAAAGCAGCAATGATATATAATGATTTTATGTTGAGTTATGAGAAAACTACACCGAAAATTCTAACCATGTTAAGAAAAATGAGAGACGAGATTGATGGTAATGTGAACTTCAACAAGAAACAAACGAGAATTAAATTATATTGTATTAAGCCTTCATAAATCTATAAAATATGTAGTGTACCATGTAATTTAAGAATTATTTTTATTCATTATTAATTTATATATTATATGGGGCTTCTTAAAATTTCCGAATGTGTATTATCTAATAAATATAACGAACTATTAATTTAACACGTTGTCTCCAAGTCGGGACCAAGAAAAAATATTATTTAAACGAGCTTATTACTGTAGGTTAATTTTCCCGTATTATAAAGTACTAAAGAACACGTGTAATGTAAAGGGAAGTAATGCAAATTCTTTTTCCTCAAATCTCGTTTGATAAATTCAGTCCAAATTAGTGTGTTTTGGAGTAAAACTTCTCCACTCAATTTTCAAAAATGCTCGGTGATAAATCTCAAACCCCCACTCGGTAAGATTTCAATTCCTATTTCATTGATTCATTCGCATTCGATCAATTTGCGTATTAGGGTTTGTTCTATTCCAATTTTAGACTATTTTTATGTGAAAAATGTTACGATTGTTCTGGCGATTATGAAATGTGTTTGTCAATTGATGCGTGGATCGCAGTTCGAACAATTTCTTATGCTAATTGAGTAGCTTCACCGTCGATTGTGATTCATATCAATTCTTCAATCGATTCTGCTGTTTTAATTCTTGTTTTAAGAACTCGAAAATTTCGGAAAATTTTTATTATGTGAGTTAAGTATTGGCTAAGAATATTGCGGAAAATGAAAAAAAACAATTGTCAGGCACGAGTTGTTGAGTATGGTTAAGAAGCACTCGAAGTTGATTCTAGACACCACGTTGGACGAGGACGAGACGTCGGCTGATGTGGAAATGGATTCCGGATTCTGGCATGACATCATTGATTTGTATTTCGTTAGCAGTAGGGAGTCGAGGGGGCGCGAGGATGATGACCTCGTGTTTTTTGTTAGAAAAACGGTACCTCATTTGCTTAATATGTTTAGTTTTCAGTTTTAATCGTTTGCATAGGCTGTGAATAATTTTGATATCGTGTAGGGTTTGCATGCGCAGAGACCTAGTGACAGTGCGGAAGCAAACTCTCCTTACTTTGTACGCAGGTGGGCACCTAAGGTATAAGGACAATGAAATACCTTGCAATGATTGCTAGATAATTTTTTCGTGTACTGATTGCTTTTTTTTTTTTTTTTTTTGGCAATTCGGAATCTGTTTATGAATAAAAAAATTCCGTGTTCATGCCAATTGCACCAATGGTTGCGGACTATGCACATTTTTATCATACATAGGAAGAAAGACAATAAGATGGATCGTGGCTCAATCTTGTTAAACTAAAGCGCGTGTAGATTTATATTTCTCTCGTGCATTTTTGCTTGGACACATGTAGTTTGTGATTATGATGAATTCTTAATCACTCTTTTGTTCTATTCAGTTAAATGCTAAATAATTTCTATTAATATTAAAGAAAATTATGCCATGTGCATATGGGCCTATTGTATTAATCTTTAAAGTCAATTCATGTTGCATGGACATATAGTATTGTTTTCAATTGGAGTAAACGGCATCTGCACTAGCAAGAGAATTTCATTGCTATGGATTCAATTTCTATGTAATGTATTAATAATTCAATTTCTTTCCGTCGATGTTTTATTTAAGATTTATGAAGGTTATATGCTTTACCATACTGTTTCTATTTTACGTAATGGAATTTTACATGACGTGGTGTGATAATGTTTATTTTCAGTTAGATGCAACTGATTTCTTTTTGTCTTGCAGTTGGATGACTTAGTTGGTGATAATTCAACGATTATAGATTGGAGACGCTCTTTTTATCTGAATTTGATTGCTCATACCACATTCAGTGTTACAGTAGCGATTTGCAGGTAATTCTTATCTTGTCATGATCTACAAATAATATTCATGTAATAACTTTTATCAGCTTTTCCTTTCATACTGTATGTGATTTTCTCTTGAATCATTTTCTGAGAGAATATTGGCTTGTATATAAAACGGGTGTTGGCCGCCTTATGAGGTTAGTTGGTGTTCTATATATGACATTTATGACAATATTAAATTGCATTGGCCTGCTTATGAGGTAATCTGGCTATGTTGGATGTAGTGGCTACTATTTGTGAGTTTCCGAGGCCGTGGATTTTTCAAAAAAACATTTTTGTTTTTTCTTTTCTTAAAAAAAAAATCAAATCCTGTTACAAATTGGTAAGTACGGGAGGGGAAGGATTTGAACCCTAGACCTCGACTCTAATAGTAGAGGCTAGGTATACATTTCACCATATCTGAAAGCTCATATGAGGATGTTCTTATACAGGAAGATGAGATTTATTGTTGCAACTGTATAATTATGATTCTTTTTCAAGAGAAAGAAGTATATAATATAACCAAATCTGATTTTACTGACGGCTATCCTTTTGCATCCCGGGTACAGAACAATGGTGCTTAGTAACATAAAATAATTTTAGAGTTATATGGCATTGAACTGTTTCTAAAGTTTTCAACTGTCGTGTTAGATTTAGATAAAACACAGTAAAGAAAGGTGGGAGTAGGGAACTGTCTGGGATGTCCGTTGCATCAATTTTAAATTGTTCTTGATTTTAGTGACAAACATTCTTATATACGTAGTTTTGAAGCACATTAAATTTACATTTACATGCAGTGGACATGCTTGTTTTTTTTTTCTTCTGGAAGAGCCATTTATTTGGTTTTTATTTACTTAATCCTATTAACTTTCGTGTTAATCTTTTTTCATGACTAGTGTCTTGTTTTCCCTTCAGTCATCAGGTTCTTCGGCAATATCATGCCAGCCAAGGCAAAACCTTGTCTCCTATCTATAAGGTATCTGCAGTGTCGGGGTTTATAGGTGGTCTCTTGTTCTAAAGCACTTGTGCCTTTTCACTTAAACGGATGGTTCACTCTTCATTGATGGAGAGGAATTTGTCCCTATTTTGCCTTTAGAAATCTCTGTTATGAGCATTTATGCATTTCTATACTCACGTCTCATAAAACCCACCAAAAACTTAACCATTTCTTGTTTGACAGGTCTTGAAGACTGTGTATGCATCTCCAAGTCGTATTAATTTTCATTTGGATTCAAGAAAGGCAAGTGTTTCTCATGACAAGTACTCTAATTGATCCTTATTTGTATATTTCTCATTGATTGTTAATTGCTTTCATGTGTATTCAGGAAGTAGAAACAACACCTGCCTATCCAGAAATATGTTTTGCCGTAGATGACTTCGATTCCACCTTTGATGCAGTGGTAAGGTGCATATTATTCAAACTGTCATATAACGTTTGATAAAAAAATTAATACGGTACTTCTACCTTTTTTTCGAGCTTCAGTTTGCATGTGATTCATAATTATTTCGTGTTTGACAGGTAGAGGTAGACTTTAGGGAAGTTGCTTAGATCAATAATCATCTCCTTATGCTCTCTATTTCCACGTGTCTACTTAGTGCTAGAGTGACCTGTTACAAGTGAACTGTGTCTTCAGTTTATACTGTACAGTTTAGGGAGGAAGATTTTCATGGTTTTATTGTTGACAATGTTAACTAATGTTTTTTAAACGTACAATATGAATTTAATTAAAAAAAAAAGTTTCAATGAATTTGCTGATGATGGAAGGCTAATTTTGGCGATCTGAGATTGTTTAGGTCTTTAGAATGCTGTTTCAGTAAAGATAAAATGAGATTTTCATATAATAAATGAAAATTTATTAATCTTGTATTTGTAGGGTGTTATTCCCACATTTTTTGATAAGTTAGAGGATGCTAGAACGTCAGTAAAATTAGTTAAAATCTTATTAAAGTAAGCTAGAATCTTGAAAAGTGGAAGTACTTCAACATTTTATTCCACAATCTGTCGTATCTGAAATCTCAATGCCACAGGTCTTGACTGATACGGATCATTGCTACTGCGTACTGCTAAATGCTCATGACGGGGCAGCATTTCCACGTGATACGAAAACAGAACAAGTTAGTTCTGACGTCTCTTCTTCAGACAATGCTGCTGCTAGTGCTGGCAAGATAAAGAAGTCCAAGGTAGTGTTCACAGAATCTGAAAGTTTCCTGAATTGCCCTTTTTTCACACGATGAAAAACCCTTGTTTGCAGATTACCCTTTTTTCAGGTTTTGTCAGCTATCAAATGGTCCGAGAAGCATATGATGGTAATTTACTTCATTCACACTAACACTTCATGCTATGGTGTTGAAATCATATTTATTTCCATGACCGTTAAACTCAGCCATTTGTTTCCTAAGCAGAAATTTAATTGCTCTTTTTTTCTGCAAGTTGTTCATTCATCTAAAAACAATAAAATAATAATAATAACAATAATAGGACTTCATTTAGGTTAATAATAGTCTTTAATCTTTATTAGTCAAATGAGATGATGAATTCCTTAAAGAAACTTTATTCACGTTAGGTTAGATGCCGAGAAGATCTTGCTGACTGATATATCTAGTTTTAGCTATTAAATATTAGAGACCGCAGAATAGGCGAAAATTGTTTATCGAAACTGTAGAAGTGAATAATTATTTGCTTAGAAGCATGCTGATTGGAAGCCAGATTTTGAAGATACATCTTATAATTCAATTTCCACGCGACATTTTCTTAACTCATTAAGTAGATGTTAGGAATCGTCGGAACACTGATCCGATATTACTTTGGTAGCCTGCTTCAGTAACGCTTTTGAACTGGTTTTCAGTACACAGACACTGACAAAATAAATTTTAATATTCATAGGATTTTATGGTTACCCTTTTAATGATGTCATGAAAACCAACATTAAGTCTTTACTTTTGAAGATTATACTTCCAAAATCCTTATATACCATGTGGTTAGCTTTTGACATATACTTTTATATCCCTCGGACTCTATACTTTTATATCCCTCGGACTCTTTTATGATGCTTGATTAGATATAAAAAAAATTATCAACCAATTTGTGATTTTTAATAGCCAATCGAATAAGTAAAGTAAATCGTGAAGAACAAACTTGTGATACCTTGTTCACAAGAAAGTTGAGGTATTTATTTTCATATAACTTTTTTATGCATCCAGTTTTTTGCATTTCGTGAAACATGATTCTATTGGTTTCATTGGCACTCTAGGTCATATATATATATATATATATATATATATATATATATATATATATATATATATATATATATATATATATATATATATATATATATATATATATATATATATATATATATATATATATATATATATATATATATATATATATATATATATATATATATATATATATATATATATATATATATATAACCTTTAGCGACATATAGATCACAAAAACTTCTACTGAAGATAATTTGACATTAGAATTAAGAAGTCAACTGATCTGTCATGTAAAGCTAACTAGAAAGCCATGACTACTAAATTACAAACCAATAAATTTTACCCAACACTTAATTATAATAAATATGGATATCCATGTAACTCTCACGTTTTTATTTGGTGCTTATCCGGTTAGTGTTTCCATTTTTAACGACTAAGTGAAAAAATAGAATTATGATGAATGCGCTTTTCAAACTGGTTGTTCAGATTTTTCTATATTGTGTCATTTCCTTCCGATATGAACTCCGTTTGAGACAAAAAGGAGTTGGATTGCTTATTTTTTTTCATTGGTCGCACCCATGGAGCTGAAAACTTTTGTGTTTTGCTAAACGGGCTTGAGTTAGCAGTTCACTCATGATAATGGAAATCCAAATAAGATTATACGTTGATGATTGTTTAGTTGGTCACTTCGGACCACCTATCATAAAGTGTTTATTTGCATTTGAAGTGACAATATGTTCTTTTGATCTAAATCCTAATATTCGTTAATTTTATTTCGATTTTCCAGCTGGGAGGACTGGTTTTGGAAGCCTTCTGTCACTAGGTCATTCTTCTGGGAGAACTGATAGAATTTATATGAAAGGTCCTGGAGGACGTGGTGAAGTTGAAGTAGCTGTGTCTGGTGTTCTCGGTAAGTTAAAAGAAAAAAAAAACGTTAACCTTTATTTTCAAATTTCATTATATGAAAAGGGTTTTATCTGGTTGAAGTGAGATCTATGATTATGATGTTTTCTGTTAGTTTTCATACTTAATTTCTGTTAACAATACATTTCTTGATAAATTAATGGATTTATAACTATTCCTAATGAAAAGGATTTGAAATTAACTTCAAATGAGAGCTAAGGATTTGAAATCCATAGTCAAATGCCTCGATCCAAAAAAACTGAATTATGGATTTGAAATCACTCCGTCAAAACCTCTCATGCAAATGCAACCCCGAAGGAATTTAGTCTTTCGAATGGGACATAAAGGGGAAATATATGTTTTAATCGGTATTGTCTGCCAGTTTCAACATAATAAACGTTTAGTGTTTGAACAACGTTTCCTGTACAAATGGTGAGTAACGATATGATTCATTTGAAACTTATAAAAATTAATTTGTATATGATTGACAGATCAAAGCAAGACGGAACTAGGTCCGCATTCACCTATTCAAATACCTAAAAAAGGGCTCGGAATCGGAACAATGGTTAGAACAGCAGCATCGGTTGCATCAACAGCAGCCAAGAATGCTTATGCCGCAGCCTCCTCCACTCGACCTTCCGACGAAGAGATGCTCCCCCTCAAGTGCTGCTTAATGTCCATCTCACTTCCATGGGAAAATATTGCTCACGATCTTCTTTTCAAGGTAACCCTGTTTTCGTTTTTTTTTTTGTTTTTGGTCTCGAAGGATTCGAGACGATACTAACTTGTATTTATTACAAATGAAACACAGGGAAGTCCCCCGGTCAACTTGTAGCGATCAAGAGTTGGTACATAACTTCCATAACGAGAGTACACAAATTGCAATTGAATTTACTTGGAAGAGAAATACTGGAGCTGAGTTGTAAATTACCTGTATCTTGGTAAATTCTGTTGCACCCAATTAAAGATTGGTCCGAATATTCAACATTTCAGGGCTGCACGAGTGCAGTGTAGCCTTTATATTGTGCTTTGAATTATAGATTCACAGTTATCTGAATAATGCTAGTAGTACTGATTCTTTGAGCTTTGCGATCTCTATATATTTTCGGCCTGCTTATGATTTGAAGAAGGCTATGTGAGAGTGGTTCTGTATAAGCACACCGTATACCTACACATATACATGCGTATGAGTGCAAAGTAGATAGTCAACCATTTATCAATAAACGTGTGAAGTTTGCCCGAGTATGGTGTTGAAGTGTACATGCGTTATAGTTATGTCTTACGAAAGGATCGGCGTACATATAGTGGTGTACGTATAACTTAAAAAATAACGTTGAGAATTATAAATCTTTTTTCTCCTTTGCATTATGATACGAAAACTTTAGGCTCTTTTTTCCGATTTCTTTTATTTCTTTTACCCTTTTATTTGTTGTTGCCTTCATAGCCGTATTTGGTTCTTGATCTGACGGCCTTAATCGCCAGTCACCGAGAAACAATAAACCATCATGGCTGTGGTTGTAAATAGTCGACTCTTAAGCGAAGAATTCAGTCCGTTGGTGATATGCGAAGTATTAGGGCAATATATAGGTCTCAATATGTTCGAACTTATTCGAAAAGAAAAGCGCTAGGAACATGACCGAAGATCGGATAGTAAGGCTTTTGATGCATGAAATGAAGTAGACTCGATCATCATTTCATGGCTGTGGGATTCTATGGTTCTTGAAATTATTGACACTTGCATTTTTTTCTTTGCAAATGCCAATTCGGCAAAGGCGTGATGTTGCCCGGGTGTACGAGATGAAGGTGTGTGCAGTGGCGTATCTAGTAGTGGGCAAGGGTGTGCAGCTGCACACCCTTGGTTTTCAGAAACAAATATTTTTCTATATATATGAAAAATCTTACAAGATTGTTTTGGTAGTTCAATTGGCAAGGTGCGTTCACTAAATATTACGTGGTGCAGAGTTTGATTCTCAATCTGCTACATTGGGTTCTTCAGTTTTCTTTTTTTTCTTTCTAATTTCCAAGAAATGCACATTTTTGTAACCTATAACTCTAATTTCTTTAATATTTTCATCAAATTTTTCTCTAAATATTTCTAAATTTTCCTAAAATTTGCAAATAATTTTTTTTTTTAATTTAATTTTTTTACATATTTGTATTGTTTTGAGCTTATACTATTAAAAAAAAGTTCGGGGGCGCTGCCCCCGAACCCCCGGAATATTTCCGTCCATTATATTTATTAAATATTATTTAATTTTTTTTATTATACTCACTTTCGAACACCCTTGGCGGAAATCCTGGATTCGTCACTGGGTGTGTGAGTTCAGGTATACAAGAGAACAATTAACTTAGGGTGCCAATTTGCAACAAAAATTATGGCAAAAACATGATTACTATATATAGGGTTATTGAGATGAAATGTCCACAGGATGTAACGTTTTGAAAGTTTTCATAGAAAGGATTGTTTTCTTGTTGATATTGTACTAGGATCGTATATATTTTTCACCAACAAAAATCTAATGTCGGTATTTTCCATGATTCAAAACCAATTTGGGTTCAAATTAAATATTGGGGCAATTTGCCTTAGGTTTCTCTACATTAGATTATATCTGTATAAATCCAAGTTAAAGTTTTCATTTTTTAATAAAGTAATAGACAAATGGCAAAAATGGACATGAAAAGAGACTTAAATGCACATTGGTCAAAAAAAAAAAAATCTTTCAAATAAACTCATCCCATGTCTTTAGTCTAAAATACCTTTCATAATATAGTTTTTATCAATTCCATCCATTATACTCTAATTTCCACAATATTACACATTGACCCCAGATTTAAATAAATATATCACATTAACCCCCATTTTAATAATTTTTTGAAAAAATATTTTTTTTTCAGAAAATAATTTTTTTTCTAATTTTTTTTTTTTTGAAATTTGTTTTTTTCTTAGAAAAAAATATTTTAATTAATATTACTGTCTTGACTGCTAAATTACTGTCTCAGACAGTAATATTAATGTTTTGGACAATAATATTACGAATATTATTTTCCCGAATAGTAGTATTACTGTCCCGAACAGTAATATTATTGCATGAGACATTAATATTACGGTCGGAGACAGTAATATTACAGTCGAAGACAGCAAAAATGCAAGCCAAGACCATAAAATTAAGGGTAAAATACACTTTGCACCCCTGTACTATGGAATAGGTCGCATTCACCCCCCTATAGTATTGAAAACATCATTCACCCCCCTACTGTTATATAATATGTCAGTCAAAGGTGAGGTGGCCTGTTGACCATATCTATTTTACTCTTTTGGACATTTTTACCCTTTTACAAACAATAAACTTATAAAAAAAATATAAAATTATAGAAACAATTATGAAAATTTTAATTGCAAATTTTTATGTTAATAATTATAAATTTATTTATCATGTTATATTTATTCAAATAAATAATAGAAATTGCTAAATAGG